TGATCGTTATTTAATTGAAAAATAAAGTCTTATCGTTATAAAAAAATAATCGAAGACTTAATTTCCGGACCATAATCTGGACTATCATCCGAACGATCATCCGATCCACATTTTCTGAGTGCTATTTTTTATATCTTTTATTTATATCTTTTGCAATTCTGAAAATTTTTAAAAGATACATAATAACTATTTAACTAAATTTGATACTGTAAATCAAAATGAAAATTTTATCAAATTAGATTACGTAGTTATTTATTAAATTATATTCTTACGTTGTTTTATATACTATTATAGTAAAGCTTAAAATCTAGGCTACAGTTCAGCAGTTCAGCATATCGGGGCTGATTTGAATAAGAAATCTAATTTCCCCAGGTTAGGGTGCGCCAATTACATATAATTTCATATGTCTAATGAGGTGCGTTACTGGGGAGATTGGATTTCCTTATCAGTATGGTAATAATTCAGTAATTTGATTACAGATCCACTTGTGAAAATTTGAAAACTTGATAATTATATTATATAAATTCGTATATAAATTCGTATAAATTATTACAAAAAACTTGTATAATATGTAATATTGTTGTCTATGTAATTTAATTTATGATCTCTCAAAGTTCTTTATGGTCATGTTTTTCATTTTCATGTAATTTTTTCCAGAAAAGCGTAAAACTCTCCACACGAAATTGCCGTCTCTAATGCTTGCTATACAGTATAACAACAAAGATATTAGTAAACTTATATAATGTTTAGCAATCAGCAATATACGAAATTCTACAAAATGACCAGAAACGTGATGCCTCAAAATGACCAGAAATTATGCAGAGCTCGTTCGGAATTAAATTTGCATTCAAAATAAATTATGAAATTCTATTTTCAGAATTTTTTTCAGGAGTAATTAAGGTTGCCTATTGAAAGCATTCAGTAAACTCATCTTGACACCAGAAATCCTGAAGTTAAAATCATATTCTAAAAAGTTAAAAACTGCATCCGTCAACGAAATATTACTAAGTGAATTATTTTACGATTTAATTTCAGTCTTAAAATTTGACTTTTAAAATCAGTTTTGATATTTAGTAGATTTTTGGAATATTATCAATTTCGCAGGCAACACTATATATGTAATTACTGGTCATTTCGTGGCATTCCAATGTGTTTCTGGACGTTCTGGAACATTCTGTGGAATTCCATGTCGTTCCGGGAAGATTATAATACTAACATCAAAAAATTTAACAGGCGGCAAAGTTCCAAACAAATCTCTGAAATCAATAGTTTTGAATATAGAGACCCAGTCTGAGGGCGGAAGTACACATACACCACTCTCAACATAACAGTTCGCGTGAGATCCTAATGCCTTATCTCTTATTTCTGAACAAGTACTCGAATCATTTTCATATAATGAGACTAATGATGTCTGAAGACAAAGCTTTGTTTTATCTACCCTGAATTGTTATAGAAAAAGAGATAATATTCGTGAATTCATTCATTAGTTTCAAAATGATATTGCAACCACAACATCCCAGTGCGATGTCATAGAGGTGCACTTAAGAATTTACAAAGATTATAATGGGACTTGAGTTTATAGTATAATGCTTACTGTAGTACCTAGCAAAAAATGTTACCCACAAATCACATTTTGCCATATAAGTGGCGCTTAGGGAAAACCATATTTCTGACTTCAAATTTATTAATTTACTAGACTCGGCACCTGTTTCCCCTGGCATCATTCATTGTTAAGTCTATTGTCTCCTCATATATAATGGTCATTATTCAATTCAGTTTGAATAGGGCAAGAAGGTACTGCGATAAGCGTTATAAAGTAGGAAACGTGTTTATGAAAATGTTTGTACATACCAATTTTTTCCAGAATAACTAAACATGTACGCGTTATCGGAAAATTTTTCGCAGTACTTAAGCCCATACCCTAATGGATATCCCCCACTTCCACAATGAAATTTCTTTTCTAAACAATCTGTATAAAAGTTACAAGAGTTTGGTACTGGCATACTACAGTTTACAGTGATAGAATTCGTCGCGTATACGGGAAATTGGATCAAAAAAATCCCAATTATGATCGAAATAAATGTAATCATTTTAATAAAGAAGTTTATGCTTATTTAGAATTTAAATTGGTTGTTGTTATTATCGTCTGGAGAGCAAGCACGATTTAGCTCTGATGGTTAAAATTCAAAGGGTTGAATTATATGGATCTAGACTTTAGATTATGTATTATTAAGAAAAAAAAGAACACAAGCACGTAAAATTATTTATACTTAGGAAGACCAAGCTATTGATAGAGTTAGTAACCTTTTATATACTTTAATAGCCTTGTGATTTTTAACCTATGTCAGTACGTACGTACTCTGAAGCCTTTTATTGAAATTTTTTGCTTTTCCTTTTTCATATTCGCCACTCTTTCGTGTCACATTACCAACTCAATTATGGAATAAATCAATTTGTATACGCAACCTAATTAGGATATTTTACTGTATAAATCTTTAATAAACTGAATAATATTGTCGATATATACTGTCTAATTGCATACGTATACTCTCTAAATGCAAAAAAAAGTTGGGTTTGAATTATTAACACAAAAATGGTCCTTACAACTTAAGTGCATATACTGTCTATGCATAAAAAATTCTCTGACAGAGGCATGCAATTAGACATTGAACCTAGCTGCCGCACCAAAATTTCACGGAATTCCTCGATTTTGATTGGCTAAGAGCGACGATCAATAATTTAGGCCAAAATTACTCAAAATTTTACTAATGAAACCACAGTCGCACATTAAGTGAAAAATATTCCTGGGCTAATTTTATCATTGTGCGGGCCTATTTCTCTAAAAATTTCCATTTTGGGAATGAAAAGTTAAAAAGTTAATTCCGGCAAAAAATTATGTAAACAATTATGTAATGCGGGCCAAAATTTTGTAGATCACGGCAGTTAGCCAATCAAAATCGAGGAATTCCGTGAAATTTTGGTGCGGCAGCTAGGTAGACAGTACTGACTGTAAATGTCGGAGATTTGGATGATCATGAGGTAATGCATCATCTCGACTAGAGTTTGGAACCGGTTTATTTTTATATGTTAAAACCGATTAAAACCAGTTTTAATATATGAAAATAAAACTGATTCCAACCTCTATCCCCGACAATATACGGGCTAGGTGCTGAGAAAAGGGTCCAAAATGACAATTGTTAATCCAAAATTAGCTCAAGAACATTTTTTTACTTAAGGAACAAATACTGTTATCTTTGTAAAACTTTGCAGTATATCTCTTTAAAGTTTGTATTTTCTTATTATTTATTAGAATATAAAAATCAATTTTTCGCAAAACTTTTTTTTTGTTAATTTGGGCCCTTTTCTCAGCATCTAGCCCATATAATTCGTATATATAAAAAATAGAATTTACTACCTTTAATTTCTCCCGTAATATATACATTTTTTATTTTATAAAGAAAATATTCAATAAAAGATGCCTTTGCATTGCAACAACGTTAGAATTTTATCTTACTCGTTAAAATATTACGGCTGACCGATCATACGATTTACAAACATAATGTATGCCACAAAGTAATTCGTTGGCCGGATTTTTTTTACAAAACTTTAATAACTCCTGAACGAGTGAACTTATAAAGTAAAATTACATATGCTGAATCCTCTTAACTTGCTCTTTAAAGTAACAACACGATTTATTTGATTTTATATAGTATAAGTTGAAAAATTAATTATAAAAATCGGCCAATGGATTACTATGTGGCCCGCATAGTGATTTGACCCGCCTAAAAATCTCCACCCGGGTCACCCGACGGGTGGGTCATATGACCCGGGTGAACCCGGGTCAACTAAAAAGTCTCCCACACATCGGGTAGACCATATGCAGTCAGGGAATTTACCAAATTAGGGGTCAGTTAAAGCGGTGCGAATTCAATATATGATCTACATACTGCATAAATTGCATTCTTGATATCTATATAACCAACTAACCCAAATGCATCAAAAAGGTAACTCTAAACCTCGCACTGCTTTAACCAACCTGCAAATTAGGCAATCGTATTCTAGAACGATCTACAAGTGGATTCTTGAATTTGATTGGCTCTTACGTGCCTTTTACTTCTCAAAAGTTGCATATTCAAAAAAAATTTTTTTTAATAGTTATCACAACCAAATAAGCTTTGAGTATATAGTTCAAGACATCTAGTTTCCATTATCCCAAAGAATCCCTCATGGTAAACTCTTTGGGCAGAAATAAATGAGATGTTAAAAATAGGTATTTACTTCATATAGAATGTTTAGATTTGTTGTTAGTTAATTTAAGATTGGTTTAAAATTTTGTGTCAGTATTTTAAGTTTTTAATTTATTTTATATATACAGGGGGGTAGCATATTATTGTGGACACTTTTAAAAAATTTATATTAAGCTAAATAAGCAAGATATTAAGTTCAAAATTATATAAAACATTGCTTAAATCTAAAGTTTTTAAATAAAAAAAAATTTATAAAATTCTATACAATAGTTGTTAAAATTGTTAATGTTACACAAAATTGTGTAATATTATACTTGTACAAAATTAGTAATTATACAAATATGGTTAGATTAAGTTTTTCATAAAATAGCTTAATTTTTTATTAAATAAACTAAATTTGATTATTATGTAAAATTTGTTCAGTATAATAAATTATATATAGAGTGTGGTGTCATAGAGTAGTGGTTAAGTTGTCACCCCCCAAGTGGCAAGTTTAGAGTTCGATTCTCACCGAAGACGTTTTTTGAAAAATAGGTCTGTGTTCTAGTAACATTTATTTGACGATTGGTTGGATATATTATCTGTAATTTTGGTACTACTATCTTGTTATGAAAGCTTTAGGGTGATCCAAATCCAAGAAACCGGAATATTTGAAACCTGTTTGGCAAGACCCAAGCTAGAAGTAGTGAAAATCTTTGACGATACTACAGAAAATCAGAACCAGAGACCGAAGAACCAGATGAACAACCCTGGGGCAAGAAGAGTCTACCAACCTGGCCGCCGGAGTCGCATCAGAGGAAAAGGTCTGATGCTATAAAATTCGAAACCAAGAGAAGTAGAACCAGAAGGCACTTAGAGCCTAGGTACAACAACCCTTCTAGGCTAACTGGTTTAGTAGTTGGGGAGGGATCGATATAAAGACCGGTTGAAAGTAGGTATCAGGATCAGAATGAACCTTGTAAGGGCAAGGAGTAGATAATGGTAATGGCCACAAAAGCCACAAATACCAGTCCTCGGATTGGGCGTAAGTTACCAAAAAACCTAAATGATACATGTGTAGGACATGGACCACTCTGGTAGGTTTACCACAAGAATAAAGTAGTTCTAAAAGGCCTTAGCGGCAAAAATTCTTCTAGTAAAAGCATCTGACAGTGCTAAGTCGATCAGAGGGTTTAAATAGGGGATCCACAAGCAGATCCTAGATATGGCAATTGGTGGATAACTATAGATAGT